TCATTTCTAAGTTTATCTCGCAGAGAAAACCCGAGCATAGCCCTTTCAATGGAGCTCAGTGAGCGACCTTGAGAGTCCTCATACAGCCGACAGTGAAGGATTACGTATCAGATCCGTAAGTCATCGCTGGAAATACGCACTGGTTGTACAATCTAGTTTTCAGGTTTTGAGGTACACCTGACGAGATGTGTCTTAATTTCCTGAGCGCTGCCCAGCCGAGTTGAATCCGTCTATTAACCTCTCGGTCGACGTTGGACTTAGCTAGTCGGACTATTTGTCCCAGGTAAACGTACTAGTCAAAAACTTTGAATATAGTGCTCCCAACTACTACTGGCTTAGATTTGACATTGACATTAAACATGATCTTTGTTTTGTCCCTGTTCAACTTAAGACTTATGCGTTGTGAGACACTATTGAGGTCATTGAGCATATTGCTTAGGTCCTGTAGCAATTCTGCCGTAAGGACTATATCGTCGTCAAATCGAAGGTGAGTGATGTACTCGTCATTGATATTAATACCGTATTCTTCCCACTCCAGTAGCTTGAAAACGTCTTCCAATGCAGCGGTGAAGAATTTCGGGCACATAACGTCACCCTGTCTTACACCTCTCTTGTTACTTGTCTCCGCAGTTGGATAGGTTTCGTACTCTGGTTTTGTACTCTGGTAGCCATCGTAGCGTTACTGTACAAATATTCAGCACTTCGATATACCAACATTTAACTTGGCACCACTGAAGGGACTATAACACCGCTAAAATTTCGACGGAATCAAAGGCTTTTTTATAGTCCACATACGCCAGGCAAAGTGGCAGATTGGTCTTCTGTACAATCTGCCGCAGGGTATGTATGTGGTCTATGGTACTAAAGCCTTTTCGGGAACTAGCTTGTTCGGGAGCCTGGAAATCGTCGAGTCTGCGTATGAGACGTTTCATAATCACTCTCGAAAACAGCACGTAGACGCGGCTCAGAAGGGAAATCGGTCTGTAGTTCTTCAAGAGAGCGTTGTCGCCTGTTTTGAAAAACATGACCAACGCACTTCTGCTCCACGCTTCCGGAGTGGTGCCACCATGAAAGAGCTTCTGAAGAACTTTAACCACCCGCTTTCAGAAGCTGCACTGTAATTCCATTCTCGCCATATTGCCATAGTTGCCACGCTTAGCGAGCGATTTGGCAACCGCAGTTTTTGTTTGTAGAGTTGCTGTTATCAGAAAGATGCTGCTGTCCATCTCCTGTCTGTTTCCCTTTGTCGCCTTTTACGACACCCACTGGAAAATATGGGATAGTGGACATTCTTAGCCGCCACTACACGATATATTAGACATTAGAGATCGTTAAACAAGTTTCAATGTTTTATTAAAGATAAAATGTACAAAATATTTATTATAATATAAATAAATACATAAATGAAAATAACCCCTGGGAATAGGGTGACCGCCACCATGGTTATAATAATTGATACTAAAATTGTACAAAATAAATTTATTGTAAATTGAACCGTTTTTGGTTGATTGGTTCCGTCTCCACGCTTGTGTCTGCTGACTCAGCAGAAGTGCAGGACTTTATTATACAACAGGTAAATTGATTAAAAATATAAGCCACGTTTGTGAACAATTTTTGAAAATATTTACATTTTACTGCAATAAAAACGCAAGTCCTTTGAGAATTCTTTACTCCATAGTTGGATGGAGATAAGTCATAAATTTTGCACATGGATTAGCGATAGAGCTACTAATGTCACGTTACGCCCCCCTGCTGGTAAGTGCATGCCCATAGACACTTGACTTGACACTTGACTCACTGGCACTGCGAACAGATGTTGCATCTCTTTGCGTATTTTATCGCATCTACCACGGGTAGTGCTATGAGAAATTGTTCGGACTAATTTCAGCCGCACAATTTCATCATCGCACACCTCGACAAAACTCGCGATATCATCCGTACCATCTGGATGAATGGCAGTCAACCACTGTGCGATTTAAAAGAAGTTTTCTTCTTCGCACAACATCCTTGTGGAATCAAATACCACCAGAGATTTTTCCGAACTGACACGACTTAGGGACCTTCAAGAAAAAAGCCTATTCCTTTAAAAAAAGGCCGGCAACCCATCTGAAATTTCCCAGGTGTTGCAGTTGTTCAAGGGCGGCGGTAATTACTTACCATCAGGTGAGCCGTATGCTCGTTTGACCCCTTTTCTATAAAAAAACATGCAATGACACCCCTGCGGACTGCAATGGGATGCATCTTGCAATAAGTAAAAAGGGTCTCCAGTTCTTAACACTCACCATACGAAACACAGCAGCTTTAAGCTTCTATTTTACGCTGGTAATCTGTGAGAACGTGGTATTTCCCATATCGAGTCGACCCTTTCTTGCTGCATGTAAGAACTTTAGGGGGTAAAGTTCTTTGTACACTTATGTGTGCGAAAGCAAAGGTGCACTCTCTTTTCCATCATTTTCATAATCAGGTCTACGTGGTTCCGCAGCCGGGCACAAGACATCCTCCAATTTCAAAAGAAAAAAATGAGGCAGTAAACGCCACGCTGCTCCATTGATTATAAGATGACTTAACACAACTTCGATATAAAATTAATGCTGCTATGTTTCGTATGGTGAGTGAAAAGAACCGGAGACCCTTTTTACTGGAAAGTGGCATTCCATCTTAGTCCTCAGGTGTGGCAACGCATTTGCATTTCTAATCTTAATTAAGGATAAATGTAAATGTCTATGAACCACAGCATCCATTTACCATCAGGTGGACTGCGTGCTCGTTTGTTATACTTATTCAGTAAAAAATAAACTACAGTCTTGTCCAGCGCTGATCACTTTGCACCGTTGAGCCTGACTCAATGAGGAAATTGTTATTATGTTTTAACGTACTTATTTTTTGTGCCATTAAAATATTGTAACTTATTTTTAAAGTAATACCAAATACACAATTCATTTTTACAATATACAATACATTTTTTAAAGTTACCTTAACAAAATAAGAGAACAAAAACGTCGGCAGGCATAGTTCATACTTTTGATTGAATATTCAAGGACTAACTGTTACGCTATATCCCCAAATTGTCTAACAGGCGGCAGTTCTGTGTCACAACGGGTCTGTTTTACGGGATGTGATGTAATATTTTTATTTACATAGTAGATAGAATTAAATTTCATTCAATGTTCAATATTTTATTTTCATTGGTGTTCATTTTTGGTCATGGTGTAAATTTCATATGGAGTAAATATTTGTTAATATGAATTTGGCTGAGAGCAAAACGTATAGAACGTATCAAACGTATCGTCGTGCAATCATATCTCTGTCGTTGTCTTCACGAAATTCACGTAATTGTTTAATTTATTTTTATTCCACTAAGTTGACACATTCATTTGAATACTGAAACGAAATGCCTGTTTTAACATTTTTCATAGTCAAGTCTAAATTTTATTATTCATAATTGGTCTTTGCAAAGCACTTTTTGAAAGCCACGAAGTTACGCACTCATCGCATCACTGCAAAAAGTTTCTAGTGTACCTTGTGAGAAAAGAGGAAAGAAGGCTTAGTAGCGCATATATTTGTATGCTGTAGGGCCACGGATTCTAATTTCACCCGAATCATTTATTTACTTGGTCTGCATATAACTGTTTTCGATCTGGATGTTAGTTCATATATAATGTGCGTATAAATGCTTAAGGAGATACAGGAGAAAAAAGTTAGTGTGTGGATAAGGTTTTCCAAAGAAGAAAAATTTAAGCAGAAGATGGATTGACTTCAGAAATTTTTAAATTCATAATAGTTATAGTCTACATATGTCTTGTTTAGCATGTATATCCTCTTGTTTCGCATATGATTGTAGAGTAGGAAAGGTTCACCTCGCTTTTTTATTCTTTTATCAACCCTTATAAGCAACAAAATGCAAATAAAATTTGGAAGTATTAACTCAAGAAAATGAAACGCACAGCGTGGCATAATGTTTCAAATAAACTCGCACGTAGAAACTCCATCGCTGATTTTTATCTAACAGTTTATAATACTTTATTACGACTCGGGAGGCACAGTCAAAAGCTCTCCTTACCTACTCTAAATTTAATTCTACTATATTATCATTTGAAGCAAAGCTCCTTTTATCGTATAGAAAATCAAAGCATCAACGCAGCCAGGTTTACGGATTCCATATCAGCGCTTTTGTTTGTGGATCCAACACATTATGCAAGTTTAAGGGATTGCATTTGTGCTCTTATATCTTTATGTAAATTTAACTATAAAGATAAACCTCCTGTATTGTACGTTTTTAAAAATGTTTTCAAAATTGTATTTATAACGATATTTTCATTAAAATGAGAAGCGTGTAGTGAAATCTAAGATAAAATATTTAAGTATTACTTAAGATTTTTTTTAAACAAGTACAGTTTCTCTTTATATTCTTTCTAGCGAAGATTCAAATACACAAAGACAAACGTGTTTGTATCATCTTGCATGCATAATTTTCGTGACTAGTTTATAATGTTTAAATTAAAATCAAAGTTACTATAGTTAATATCATCATAATGTAGACCAATAAAATATTAACTTATCATTGAACGGTTTTTTAGTTATTTAGCACAATCTTTGGCTTCATTATTAGTAGCATAAATCTAGAACTTCTTAGATAATAAAAATATGTACAAAATATCTATGTACAAAGCAAAAATATCATAACGCCATTTAAAAATGTTTACATACCGTAAGTGAAAATAATTTCCGCAGCGGGCTTTGTTGTATCTGGTTTTTAGGACAAAAAAGGTCCTTACACTATGCGTTAGGAACACTTCAAAAAGGCTATTGAATAATAATAATAATAATAGTAATAAAAATAGTAATAATAAGTCGCCCAGGAACTGGAACTAGGGCAAATGAGGAGTACATTGGAAGAGGCGATTGTGGAAACGCGCAGTACGCCTATCGAAAATAGACCGCGACTTCCCCGCTTAGCCCTAAGCAAGCGGAATCTGGCTGTCGTGAGGGCTCTGAACCCAATGCTGGTTACCTATTTGAAAGCCAGCCGGGACCTTTGCGAGACGGACTCAATTCTTTTTGGCGCCGCACTGGCAGTCTGCCGTATTATAGGCGCCAAACTTTCCACGGCTGGTCGCGCTACTGGACAAAGTAGTGCTATCCCAGCCTGGAGAATAAGAATTGAAGAACGTATCGCAAAGGCTAGGGCCCTCATCGGCAGACTGATATGCTTCAGGTTAGGCAATATCAGGCCAAGGATTGTGCGCACCGTCAGGATGGCGTTTGCTGGGACAAATGTTAGTTTGTCCCAGCCGGATATAATGCAAAAACTGACGGAGTGCATAGACGACCTGAAGCAAAGAATCGCTGCTTGGGGAAAGCGGATTCGGCGATATACCGAGAGGTCGACACGGTTCAACCAGAATCGTCTCTTCCAGAGTGATCAGAAGAGGCTCTATAAATCATTGGAGCGACCAATGGTAAGTGGAACGGGCCCAGCAACAGATCAGGCCGACACGGTCGCATTCTGGCGCAGCCTGTGGTCAGAGCCCGTAAACCACAACGAGGGCCCTTGGACGGAAGTTGTGGCGAGTCAGTGTGCGGGTATTATGCCCATGGACCCCGTCATCATAACGCCGGATGACGTAGCTGAGGCGGTCCGTAGGGCCCCGAACTGGAAAAGTCCGGGGTTTGACGGGCTGCATCACTACTGGCTGAAGGGGTTCATGGTGTGTCACGCTGTGCTCGCCCGACAGTTTCAAGAGGCTCTCAACCAGAAGTCGCTCCCAAGCCTCTTCACTACTGGAATCACTCATTTGGTTCCTAAAGGTCAGGGTGCCACAGACCCGAGCAAATACCACCCCATCACGGGTCTACCGACCATATACAAGACACTAACATCCATTTTGAGCGCGAGAATCGCTCGTCACCTGGACTCAAATCAGGTGATGTCGCGCGCTCAAAATGGATGTCTGGGCGGCGGTCGTGGAACCAAGGAACCACTCCTCATTGACGCGGTCATTGGCAAAGTGGTGGAACGCAACCGTCGGAACTTCTCCGCCGCCTGGATAGATTACAGAAAGGCATTTGACTCGGTGCCCCATACATGGCTAAAGAGTGTCCTCGAGCTGTACAAGATTGAATGTACAGTTCGAGACTTCCTCGAGCAGTGTATGGGGCAGTGGAGTACGATCCTCTGTCATCTAGGCGAGCGGATGACGGCTGCGGAAAGCCGCATAAGGATAAGAAGGGGTATATTCCAGGGCGACTGTCTGAGACGAATCTGGTTCTGCGTCTCTTTTAACCCTCTCAGTACTTTACTGGAGGGCTCCGGGAGGGGATTTGAGCTTCGGAAAGGAGGTACAAAAGTGACCCACCTTCTCTATATGGGTGACCTCAGATTATTCGCCTCCAGTCGCTCCCATTTTATGGAATTGCTAAACATCACTTGTGAATTTAGCAATTCTATTAGAATGGAGCTGGGGACGGATAATTGTGCGGTCCTCCATGTTGAAAGGGGAAGGGTTGCTAACTCTGAGGGCATAGACTTATCTATGCCCGTCAACTTAAGGGCCGTTTCCGAGGTTGAAACATACCGATACCTGGGTATGTCACAGAACATCGGTATCGATGAGGCTGGTATGAAACAGTCAGTTTGCAACGTGTTTTATGCACGCTTGACCAAAGTGCTTAACAGCCTTTTGTCCGGTGTGAATAAGACACATGCATATAACGGTTAGGTCATGCCTGTCCTCATGTATACCTTTGGCATACTCAGGTGGAGTCAGACTGAACTTAACGTCCTGGATAGAAAAGTCCGCAATACAATGACGTCCCATAGGATGCATCATCCGAGATCGTCGGTAATGAGGCTGTACTTGTCGCGAAAGCATGGTGGGCGTGGCTTCCTGGGCGTACTCACCATGCATAATCGCGAAGTGTGCAGCCTCCGTCATTACATCCTGGCGAGATCGGATGATCCATTCAATAATGACGTCATTTCTAGTGATAAAGGACTTACCCCTCTATCCTTAGCCAACGAGCAATGGCAAGACCCGGCAGTACAGAGCATTTCCGACCGGGAGACCCTATGGAAGGAGAAGGAGCTCCACGGGAGGTACTACAGGGCTCTACATGAGCCTCACGTAGATACAGCCGCCTCCCTCAACGGGCTACGTATCGGTGACCTCTTCGGGGAAACCGAGGGTTTTGTCAGTGCAATACAGGATCAGGTTATTAAGACCAACAACTATCGGAGATACATCCTAAAGGATGGCACTGTAGAGCTTGTCGCCATCCCGGGGAGTCACTTAGGCATGTCATCTCCGGTTTTTCGGCGCTTTCTAACTCTGAGTACTTGCACAGGCACAACCTAGTAGCCAGAATTCTACACCAGGAGCTCGCTCTGAAATACGGTCTCGTGGACCGAAAATTGCCGTATTACAAGTACTTTGCGGAAGCCGTGCTCGAAAATGACCGCGCCAGGCTCTACTGGGACCGGGCCATCATCACAGACAGGACTATTCTTGCGAATAAGCCTGATATTGTGCTGATGGACCGGGCACAGTCAAGGATATTTTTGGTCGATATTACCATTCCGTATGACGAGAACCTCGTGAAAGCCGAAACAGAGAAACGAACAAAATATCTGGACCTGGCTCACGAGGTGACCGACATGTGGGTGCTATGCCGACCGAAATTATTCCTGTAGTCGTCTCTGCGAATTGGCTAATCCCAGTCAGCCTCTCGGGTAATTTGAGGCGACTGGGACTCCGTGACGGACCACTCCGGGCTCAAATGCAGAAGGCAGTGGTCCTCGATACCGCCCGCATCGTCCGTCGGTTTCTTTCCCTTTCCTCCTAACCCTCGGCCGTTTGGTTTCCTCTGCCGAGGGCTTCCATCTGGTTGGATCTTTATTTATTTGTGTATTTTTTGTATTTATTTTATTTTATTGATATTTATGTATATTTATCTTTTCATTTTAATTTATAATTATATATTTATAGAAAACAACCAGATGAGAACACTATACAGATACCCTATAATAATAATAATAATAATCCTTTATTGCAGACACAAAGATCCATATTTACAAGAAAATATAATATAGCATATATATATATATACATATATATATATATATATATATATATATATATATATATATATAAGTATAGCAAGAATAGACATATTACAATATTTCCAAACGTCTATCGTCACCCAGCAACTTTCACCCAACATCTGTATCTGCCTATCTGCCAAACTACGCACAATAAAGAGAGTCAACCCGGGTTTTTACGTACATTTCAGAGGCGCTACAATAGCGATTAAATCCCATTAGAAATCTAAAAATATTATTAAAAGTCACCCGTATACTATCATGTGTTTTCTTGGTATAGTCTACCCAGAGTTGACACGTGTAAAATGATTGGCAGAAAGATCTAAATAGTGTAATTTTCACGTCCGGCGACGCCTTGCAGAATTTTCGCGCAATCATATTGCCTACTACACACAGAGATCTACGTTGACGTTCCACATCCGTGTCATCTTTTAAGTCTGAAGTAACAATATGGCCAAGATACTTGAACTTGTCTACTATCTTAATAAATTTTCCATTAAGACGAATCTCGGGCACGCTCTGAGGTAACTTCCCTGATCTGAAAATCATTATTTCTGTCTTTTTGGAGTTGTAAGTCAAATTACGTTCTTTCGCGTATCTTTCACAGATTTCAATCAATGTTTTCAAGCCTTTAATCAAGGGACTGATCAGCACCATATCGTCAGCATAGCTCAGGCTGTTAACATATCTGTCGTCCATTATAATATAATGTAAGCGGATCTTCAACTTTCTCTCTTGCTTACGCAACTTATCATTAACAACATTGCATTGTAATGCGCCAAGCATTCCGCGTGAAGCAATTACAATTTGACCATACTGTAATTACCACATTTATACGTGGTAGAGCCACGCTGAAGATATCTTATGTTTCTAGCATGTATGGGTAGGACCACGGTCTCACAGAATACCAGCGTATAGTACCTAGCAGTTTAATGCTGCTGTGTTGTGTATTGTAAAGAACCGGAGACCCTTTTACCAGAGATGACGCATTCCATCATAGTTCTCAGAGGTGACAACATCTGCATTTTGATTATTAATCATCATCATCGGAATACAAAACCGCACTTTTGTTTGCACATACACTATAATCCTGCACAGATGACCCGCCGTGACCGTTGTTCTGAAAGTCATTATTATACAGGTTAGCTTTACAAGAACAGAATGATTGATAAAAAAAAAATTAAGGTTTGAATTGCTTTGACGAAATCACCTAATACAAATTTTTTCGTTTAGATTACCCACGATTTCTTAACATTGATTTAAAATTACTTTAAAATTAATACATATTTAAATAAAAATCCCTTTGGATTTCTTGCTCGTTCTTCCCAGAAAATATATATATTAATATATATTAACACAACACAAGTGACAAAAAGTATTGACACTTATTTAATCGAAATATTTTCCTGTCACGTGAGACAATTCTCAAAGAATACGAGCGTAAAATAGGAGCTAAATGCTGCTGTGTTTCCTACGGTGAGTTTAGATAACCGGAGACCCTTTCTACTGGATATGAGGCATTTCATCATAGTCCTCCGGGATGACAACGCATCTGCATCTAGATTCTTAAGCGAGGATAGATGTAGATGTCTATGGGCCACAGCGTTTATCGTACTATCAGATAAGCTGCTCGCTCTTTTGGCACCTTATTCTATAAAAAACGCTCCATGCCTGATGAACATTGAAATTGAACAAGAATGAAGAAGATACCTGCGTTTTAAGAGTAATTACACTTCATTGCCACACACATAATAATAAGCTTTGATTTAAAAAGTATACACATAAATAATATATACGTGGTAGAGCCATGTTGCAGTTATATTATAAGTATAGTTGTAGCACGAATGGGTCGGCTCGACCGGGGAAGGACCACGCTCTCACAGAATACCAGCGTAAAATAGTAGCTTAATGCTGCTGTGTTTCGTATGTTGAGTGTAGAGACCCGAAGACCCTTTTTACTGGAAACGAGGCATTCCATCTTAGTCCCCACGGGTAACAACTCATCTGCATTTTGATTCTTAATCGAGGATAGATGTAGATGTCTATGGGCCGCAACAACCACTTACATCACATCAGGCGAACTGTGTGCTCGTTTTTCACCCCACCCTATAAAAAAAGTAAAAAAAGTAAATGAAGATAAGAAAAGGATAAAATCAATAAAAAAGAACCGTGTGCAATAACAAATTAACTAATATTACTATAAATAATCTGGTACAACGGGTAAAAGCTCAGTATTCGCTGTGCAATATTATAAGCACTGATTTTCAGCTGATCCCTGCTGTTTTAAGTTTACTTTGTGTATAAATGATCTAGCACTTTTATTATCATCACATTTAATATATTGAAAAAATAAAGGACATTTAATGCAATTTTAAAACAGTACTTGTAGTATTAGGATATCCACTACTTCATATCATTCGCCTAGGTGACGTAAGAGGCGATAGAGGGAAACAAGCCAGGAGATGGGCAGCAACGTCTCCTTCATAACCACTAAAAATATAAAACCGCGTTTGCCAACCCACCTGCTAAGCGTGGCAACTGTGGCAGTCAGCAGTAGACTTTGATGGACTGCACCAATAACAATAACTAATAATAGTATTACATTGTACATTTTTTATCAACAAAAGATTTGAAAATTATAAAAAGTATCTAAAGTCATACTAAAAGAACCAAGCCACCAACCAACCATTTACCACCATATATAACCAGAACCAACTATATAAGCTTTGCTTATAATTGACTACATATTTAAATACAATATGTTGTTGAAGTGCAACTTCTTTAGAATTGTAGCTATATCGTTTAAACAAAAAAGCGACACTAAAAACAGAGAAACATACTGCAGTATTTAGCCCGAGAGAGAATGAGATAGAATACAGTATACAGTGTGGTCTATTATCTCCATCTCCTTTCTGAAGGTTTCAGTTTTACCGCGTGTGAACTAAACAGATTTTTTTTAAATATAAACTAAAAATTTTTTGGTTATTTCTTCTAGCTTTCTTATTTCATTGATTTGACGATCGATTTTTAAAATATATACATGCATTAATTGATGCCATATATTTTTCCATCCCACCTATTAGCAACTAGCGATGGTAAATTTTTGGGTAGAAATTTAGTATTCCAGCCTATAATGAAATTAATGAAAACGTTTCTAATTAGGTAATTTCATTGTCCAAAAATTGATATCTTGCATTCAAAAAAGTTTTTCTTACATTATGATGTACATGAAGTCAAGGGGAAAATAAGTAATTTTATATTTTAAAAAACATAGCTTGTTTTGATCATTTCCATACAAAATTTTCATGAAAACGAGGCATTAATAGAAGCGGCCACCAGTCAGATTATTTTGGAATATTCAGCGTGGCTGCGAGTGTCAAACGCTTGAATATTGAATCGATAGCATGAACTATGCCTAGCAGCGTGCTGCCGCATACTTGCGTTCCACACCTACAAAGTTTGTTGATATGAATAATAATTATAATAAACTAGCCATTTAGAAAAATATGTTATAAAATATGCGGCTTAGAAAAATATACAAAAATAAATATAAGCAGGTAGTCATTTTACTTTTTCTATAAAATGTACTAACTTTAATAAAATTAAAAGTCAGCTTCTATGAATTTTTTTATAGAATAAGGGTAACCAACGTGCAAATATTCCACCTGAATAAGTGGATGTTGTGGTCCATAGAAATCGACATCTATCCTCGATTAAGACTTTAATTTTTTAATATATTGAATGTAATTAATGATAATAATAGTGTTAGATAGCTTATACACAAAATAAACCTAAAACAGCAGGGACTAGCTGAAAACCAGTGCTGATAATATTGCCCAGCGAATACTGAGCATTTACCAGTGGTCCCACATAATTTACAGTAATAGTAATTAATTTGTTGTTTATTGTACACGGTTCTTTTTTATTTATTTTAGTACGTCTTCATTTATGTGTATACTTTTTAAATCAAAGCTTATTATTATGTGTGTGGCAGTTAAATGTAATTGCTCTGAAAACGCGGGTGTCTTCGTCATTCTTGTTTAATATCAATGTTCATCAGGCATGGAGCGTTTTTTAAGTAAGATAAACGCTGAGGCCCATAGACATCTACATCTAGGATAGGATAGCTTAAGAATCAAAATGCAGATGTCTTTTTATGCCCTAGGACTAAAATGTATCATTTCCAGTAAAAAGGGTCACTAAGAGATAATGTATAGAAGAAAAAAGCCCCGAGTTCTGCATGTTAAATTATCTTATTCATTTTAGTATTTTGAAGTGTGCTTTTACTTTTTTAAGTTATTTTTAAACGTTTTGAGTTGTCTTAAGAATATTAGTGATCACAATGTTTTCTTAATTAGTTCTGTTAAAAAATATGACTTTAAAGCCATATTATTGAAAAGTATAAAATTTGTTTGTGCTAAAAGGACGTACGTTTACTGATAGTCTTTCAAAAGATACTTTTTTATATAGGATAGGGTGACAAACTAGCACACAGTCCACTTGATGGTAATTGGTTGCTGCGGCCCAAGGACATCTACATCGATTACAAATCGAAATGCAGATGCGCTGTCACCCGCGAGTACTGAGATGGAATGCCTCGTTTCCAGTAAAAAGGGTCTCCGGTTAACATAACATATAAAACAAAACACAGCAGCATTAAACTGCTAGTTTACGCTAGAATTCTATGAGAGCGTGGTCCCACCCATTCGTGCTATAATCACAATATATCTGCAACGTGGTTGTATATATACATTTTAATTAATTACTATGTAAAAATGGCCATTGTAATGTGTACTTCAATACTGTTTAATTAAATAAAATATGTGTTTCTGTACTGTTTAATAAAAACGTACTTTGGCCCTTTTAGTACCATGTTACAGAAATATAAACATTGAAACCTTCATTACATATTTTGCCACCTTTAGAGATGGACTTTTAACTTCAAATGTATATGCGATGACCCATAGCATAAGTATAAACTTTTAATACATATAAGTCTTTTTAAAGTCTGCTTAACATAGGATTATGCTTTTATTCCTAACGAGGCTACAAAATGGTACATGGTAAAATAGTTCAGTAATTTTTAATTTATTTCGCTACGAAAAACGAAGAAAATATCGGAATTATATAGTTCTGTTCTGGTTTGAAAATCTAATATAATTACAAGCTTCTATTACATAGTTAATTCTAAACGGTAATAATTGAAGGTTTGGTAATCAAGAAAATGTATAAGCGTCTGAATGCGGCGCTGTGTGCTTGTGGCCTATAAATAAATAATAATTTCAGGTCTGAATGTTTGTCCGTGTAAAATTCTAACGTCTTCAGGAGCAGAAGGTACAACCCATTCACGTACTTCTACCGCCAAGAAACGATGCTGCCTCTACTGATTACCAGTTTGAAGAGTATACACAGTCAATATTGTACTCTACATACTATAAGGTATTCCATGTTAGAACTCCTAATAGTGAAGTTGTTTTCAGCTGTCTACGCACTGTAGCAGCCACTTAAAGGTGGACTGTTAACTTGTTTGTTAATTATAATTACCATTAAAATACGAAATATTATAAATTTCCTGCATAAGCTATCGTTAAAAATATCGTTATAGGGTTGATATTCGCCACAGTTCCCACGCCATGCTTGCTATCGATTTTTTAATTCTTATTAGAAATAGGCTGCTGTAAATATTTTGGTTTGTTTCCCGGTCACCTCTTCCGAGAATTAGGTATGGAGAAGTGGATATTCTTTCACTACCAGTTTGTGGTATATTAAATACATTAAACATTTTTTGCATATAATGATGGTACTTCAGACTAAACACCGACCTAGTTTTGAGGTGGCGACGTAAGAGAATCCATCACCCCGTTTCATTTCATGAGTAGTCTAAGTGGTGACTATAGCAAATGCCAGAAAAAAATTAAATGGTTTCAGATAGACATCTATGTAACTATCTCGCTTACACTAAAGGCAAAGTACTCAGACCGGCGACATGCAACACCACCTAAAGTACGAAACGTCTAGCGCTACGATATCTGCCGAGAGTAACGATCAACACGTCCAGCATTGAAATAATACTAGTTTTTACGGAATTTATCGCGTATATTTAACTTTTTTAAATACCCGACGTTTCGAACGCTTTACAGCACTCATGGTCACGGGCGTGACTGAGATGTTCAACGTCCATATGTCATAGTTAACCGCGGTTACCATAGATTAAAATTTAACTTTTGTTCCGATATATACAGTATGAACTTATGGTATCTTGAAGTCTTGCAGTTGTATGCTTGGGTTGGGATTTAATTTTATTTATTATAGGATCCCAAGCAGATGGTAGCACCCAGCCATTTTCTCTATTGAAATTAGGATGTTTTTTGATTTCAATAGCCTCGCGAATCATCCTTGGAAGGAATCGGTGTTCTTTAGCGAGGATTTGCGGTCTATCAAACCTGATGTAGTGACGGGGGCGATCATGTACGTGTTCACAGACTGCAGACTTCCCGGAGCGTCGATTCTTCACATCAGCTATATGTTCTTTAACGCGGGTTTTTATTGATCTTTTAGTTTGTCCTATGTAGGAGAGACCACATTCACAATCAAGCTTGTACACTCCTGCATCTTGCAGAGGGACATTACACTTGACTGATGGTAAAAACTGACTAATCTTCTTCAGTGACTTGAAGTATGTTTTAATGGAAGCGCGCTTCAAGATGTAGCCAATCTTGTCAGTGACTCCTCTAACATATGGCAGTACAGCAGGTACACGCTCGACTGTGGCCGGCTTCACTCGTTCACTGTGACGTAAGCGCGGAACTCGAAGCTTGTTGTCATGCAAAACTTGCTTGACATGAGAGCTCCACAGCTCTGCAGCCAGGTGTTTACTGTCACAGATCCCTCGTGCTCTCTGAAACAAAGATTTACCCACGGTAGCTAACTGTGAAGGATGGGGGTGAGAATCACCGTTTAAATATCTATCTGTATGGGTCTTTTTTCTATACACAGTATGGCTCAAGGTGTTATCAGGATTCCGAAACTGCAAGATACTTCTTTATATGCGGGCCACAAAGCATTGTCGAAAGCTTCTTCAATGTCAATGGAGACAATCACAACAATTTCCCTGTTTTTAGCCCTTACCTGACAACCTCGAGGTCGTCGCATAGGGCGTCCTCGGTCCCTCTCTGTGGGATAAAACCGTATTGCCTACCACTCATTTTGTTTTCTGAGCCTAGCTGCCATGTCATTCGATTAGCAAATAATGTTTCAAGCACTTTTCCCAGAACAGGTAAGAGTCCTATTGGCCGATACGATTTTGGAAGTGTGTAGTTCTTCTTATTAGGCTTTGGGATGACCTTAATTATTGCGCTTTTCCAGGTTTTTGGGAAATGCCCAAGTATCAGGCATTTGCTGTAGATTGCCAAGAGTATCTGTGGAATGGCCGCATAAGCCTTGTGACATATGTCAGCTGTGATGCTGTCTTCCCCTGGCAACTTCCTAGGGCTCATTGATTGAAGAATAAGTTCTACCTCAGTGTTAGTAAATGGTTTTGTGGTATCTTCTTTTTGATTGATTCTGCTTTTTGTCGCATTTCTGAGTGTGGTTGTACGTCTGTTTCGGTATTATCGTGTGGGTAGAATGTTTCGGATAAGATTTTAGTCGACTCTTCCGGGGTCATGATCTTACCGGTTGTAGATTCTCTTAACAATGTATCCTCCGGAGTTCTGCTAGATTTCCTTGTAATTCTGTATATGCCTTGCCACAAGCTTTCGCGGTCTTGTCTGGTACAAAAGTTTTTCCAGCTTGAGGTGACAGTGTCCGTCAGGAGATTTTTATATTCTGCTTTGGAAGCTGTATAATCTTCAATCACTGATTGTCTTCTGTTTTGGTTGGCATATTTGATTTTCCTTCTTTTTCGGATTAAATCTTTCCTCTTATCGCTTAATTCTTTAGTCCACCATGTAGTCTTAGTACTAATGTTTTTAGCTAGCTTTGTGATTGCTTTGTCGCAGGATCTCCGAATGCAGTCAACGTATTGTCGTACAAGATCGTCTAAATCTTGTGTGTTTTCAATTTCTGCGATGGATTCCTCAGTGATCCTCAGTACATTTAGTTCCTCCTTCAGAATATGGGTGAAGCTGACCCAATCTGCTTTCCCAGTGTTCTTGTCTCTGAGTGGCTTCTGCGATCATTTTTTCGAGGTTAACATTGTACGTAATAGCTCTGTGATGTGATGATGATTCCAAGATGTTGGTGTTCTTCCTGTATTTAATATATGTAATTCCCATACAGCTGTTCCCCGTCTATCCTCCACATCGCAGCCCCACCAGGGACTCTTTGCATTTAGATCTCCTCCGAGGATTATATGTTCAGTGTCTAGAATATTTTTGAAGTTAGAAATTATTCTTAAGTCTTCTTCAACGTCTTGAGCCCCTTCCATGTATGTATATGCTAATGATTGCGATATCATAGTTGTAAATTTGAAATTTGCATGCAACAATATTTTCAGTTTTAGTTTTTAATGTACTGTACAGACGGATCAACGACTATGACAGCCGATTTGACGGGTTTTTGAGTGTCATTAGTTTGCTTTTGAATAACTCTTTGCCGACAAGTAACATGTGCATTTGCACCTACATCGGGTTCTTGTACTAGGATTATTGATGGTCCCTGCGATTCTGCTGTTTTAAGGCATTCCTGTAATGCTGCATAGCCTCTACCTAGATTGACTTGTGCAATTTTTATAGCTATTTGGAATCCTATTCTCACTTTTTGGTTTTGTATAAGCCTCAGCCACGGTTAGAGCCATTTTTGCTTTTCAACGCCAAGACACATTAAGCAGACTAGAAGTAAATGCCACTCTAGGGCTCTTGTGAAAGCTCGCCAAGCCGTGAATAAAAGCTGTTGTACTGTGTGCATTCACAGTACAACAGCTTTAATTCACGGCTCTCCAAGATGCAACCACTCTTGTTATTGTCCTACAATTCTAATATGACCTAAATAAAAGAAATAAGTGTAATGTCAAAGCTTTTACTTAATTATAAATGTTTACAAGATAAACTATGCTGCCTATAAATAGTTAAAATAATAAGCTTGTTTATTTCAGTAAATCTCATAATATACTAATATTCATGACCATCATTACAGCTTGTCTTTTTATTAATATTTATTAATAAGGCTGACAAACGAGCACACAGCCCATCTGGTATTAAGTGGATGTTGTATCGAAGACATCTACATTTATCCTTGATTAAGAATACAGATGCGTTTTCACCGCTGTGGTCTAAGATGTAATACCTCGTTTGCAATAAAAAGGATCTCCGGTTCTCTACACTCACCACATGAAACAAAGTACCATACGAATAGTCTAAAATAGTAGTAGAATAGCTTTAAAACGAGTAACTTATTACTTTTCACCACCTTTACATTTTCCCTATCAACTTTATTAACAATCATAGAAATATAGGCATAGACGCCACAAGACAGACAGACATATTTATAGTTGCGACTGTAATATTATCATCATTACAGTAACAGCCCTTCGCAAGTCCACCGCTGAACGTAGACCTCCCCCAAGGAATGCCACAAAACAGAAGTGTTCTTTAGTAAGTTGGTATGGACATGCTGCAGCAATATGGTTGTAGCACAAGTGGGTTGGCTCATCTGGGGAAGGACCATGCCCTCATCGAATACAAGTGTACTGGCTAAATTTGCTTCTGGTTTTCATATGTTGCATTCCTAGTAAAAAGAGTCTCTGATTATCTACTACCGGATCTGCTGATGCTCTATGTTAGGGTTGAATCTGAATGACGGGGTGACAACCGTGTGATAAGTGAAGAGTGTGATTTGCAAGATAATTTTGTGACCAGGATTAAGAAAGGAATGGTGCGGTGGTTTGGTCATAGGGAAATAATGAATGAGGAAAGAGTTACAAAGAAAATTTATGTTGCAGAAGTGAACGGTAGAGTCGGAAAAGAACGTCGTAGGTGAAATTTTTCGACTAAATTGGCGATATATTGAAAATGGGCCAAATTAAGAGTACCTTTAACTGACAAGCATGTATGCGCAGGTATATGGATGATGGATGTGGAGGAGGCAAGAGAGGTGTGTCAGGATCGTTCCAAATTAAAGTCTGTAGTCTCTGCCTAGCCCTTTGGGTGATAGGCTTGAGTGTTTATGTTTGCAAATGATGAATTAAATTAATAAAAAAGATCCCAAATATTCTGTCCTTTTTTATGTTTTCAATTCGAAATGTATGTTAATCACTGAGTTTTATATAACTGAATTTACTGGGCACGCACAGATCCATAAGGGTCGATCGGTAGGCTAAAACTTTGTTATAATTATATAATTCCCATAATTCAAATTCAATTCGGGATAATTTCAAATAAAAGTAGAA